TCAAGTTCGAATCCAAGTCTTTCGAAAAAATCTTCAATCCGAGTTCACCAAAAAATTTTCCAGTCCGGACTCGAACTCGCCCAGCACTGGTTGTTTATCATACATATTGTAGTTAGATTTTACATTGCCTTTTTTGTATCTATCTGATTTTGTCAAGGTAGAATAGAATCAAACATGTTTTTGTGTCATGATAGTCTCATCTCAAATTTTTTTTGATATTGAGTGACCCTATAACATTTTCCTTCTTATTTCATGAAAATGTCATGTGTCACGATACGATCACTCGATCTATCTGAATATTTTTCTTGTTATTTTTGATCGACAATCGTGTTTGTTCACAAAAGAGATTTATCAATGAAAATTAGAGACAGTTTCTCGAATAAAGAACATTATAGTAAATATATTTTTTTCAAGACCCTATAGTTTGTTTTCTGCACATTGGCCATAACTGACATTCACATATGCAAGACATCATTTTTAAGATTTTGGAAAATAAATATTGAATCTATTCGATCTTATCTAGTGCCGCATTTCGAAAAGTTTTAAATACAATATACACTTCAGTCAAATATTTTTAGAAAGAAAAAAGATTAGCTATAGAATATCAAGATGAATCGTCACTTAATATCTGAAAATAATATTTTTTTTGTTCTTCTAAATTAGATTGTGTTTTGATGATGAATTTTCTCAATAAACGATAGTCCTTCTATATATAAATGAAAATTTTTTTCTTTGCACTATTTGTGTTTCAATCCCGACTGCTCTGACATTTTTAGGTTTTGCTTTTCTCAAAAACAATTAATCACAAAAAGACGACAAAATGATGAAGTTGTCATTAACTCTATCTCAACAACAAAATAACAAAGTTACTCTACACAAATCGTAATATGAAGTAACATCATACTCATTGTTGCACTTTAAACTCATAACAATTTCATGAATGTATTTTTCCATTATCAGTTTTGTTATATGTTCTATTCTCTTGTTGGAAATATAGTTCGATTCTGCATTTTGAAGCTGGTCCCTTTCAAAATTAGCTAAACAGTATATACATATACATGTTGGAACTGTGCAAATTTGAAGAGGTTTTCTTCTAGTTGATATAATATCTGACATTTATGTTAATTGATGAACTATGTTTTCCAAACATATTGAACTTTTCAAATTCATTTCTCATTTTCTAAATAATAATTATATCGATAAAGTGTTGACATTAACTTATATAAAGTCTATATAAGTTCGTTAAGTACTTATTTTTGTGTTTTTTTTTCTTCTCTTTTCACCCGAAAAATCAGGTGAACTTTTTCCTACTTTCTCTCCCTCTCTCTGTTGACCTTAACTCACTTTTTAAAGATATATAACAGAAAATAATCAGGATAGAGGATTATGTTTTTGAAGCGGAAGACGGTGCACGAAGAATATATTCCTCTATGTTGATCTTTCTTTTTCTTTTTCACTCTCTTTTATTTATTTGGTGTTAGTAAAAAAACATTTGTGTATTTGTAAATATTGTTTCCACTCATATTCAAAAGATCATATAGTTCGACTATTTGGAATCCAGCCAAGTCACACACCCATAGAGAACATTATTGTATTATGTGAAAATAGATAGTATAAGCAAGAAGTTCATACTAGAATAATGACACTATTACCCTTTTCTTCATAAATACATGTTTGTGATGGAGTTTTATAGGTGATTGTAGTCATTCAACATTGAGAGGCAATTGTAACAATAGGGCTTATTTCATATAACGTAATGTATATTTCTTTTATATACGTGATTTACTGTTATGTCTCTTATAAAACAGGATACTTAAGAGAAACTTTTCTATAGGTTGAACGTGTATATCAATTACCATCACCTTGGTGCGGGTGTGTTTTCTACTTTTAAATGACACACACACTTTTCTCTCCCTCTCGCGGTCTCTCTCTTTCCCAGTTTTAGAGGTATATCTTCCTACTTCGAATTCTTTTCTGTTTTAATTTATACTGTAAATTTCTAGCAAAAATGACAGCAACTACATGTTCAAATATATAAACGTGAATAAAAAAATAATAAAATATCGTCTTATTTGAAAAAAATTTATTTTTATTTATAGTTTTTTCTTTTCAATAATAATCATTGAATGACGTCGTTTAAATGGAATTATTATTATTGATGAAAACTCTATCCAAATATTAAATATGTTCTGGATGAAAAATTTTGTAGACAGATTAAATCTTACAATAAAACTCTGAAAAAAAAAATGCCACATCTTAAAAAGATTTACTCCATAGAGGTCAAAATTTGACTAACTTTATAGAATACTGATAACTATATAGTGTACACTCGGGGCATTCAACAAAATAGAAACTTTTCTTTTTTTAAGCAAAAAATGGATTTCTTATATCCATATTTCTTCTAATCAATGATGACATATTAATCAAAATGTGTCATTTGATGTTTGATACAAAAATCTTCGTAGCGGAGTACGTCACACAACAATGATCAAATTTCTTCCATTTTTCTTATGAGACAAAAAATATAATCTTGCATAGCTATTAAATATTCAGATAAACATGCAGAAAGTATGCTCGATTTATTGTTATATAAATAACTTGTTCATTTCCAAACTATTGTATTAAAGATTTAGAAAATATTATAATTAAGATTCATTTAGATTTTTTACTTTTAGATTGTAGATTAAATAAACATGAAATATGTTTATATTTTCAGTAATAATAAGAAAAATATATTTAAAATGTATTAAATGCATTTTTTATGATAAGAGTACATGAATATGTTCATCATAGAACATCAGATAATTTATTTTTAACGGTTTGATGATCCTGTAAAGCTTGTGTGTGTGTGTTGTAAGCTGTAAAAGCTCGACATTTCATTTGTATACATAAAAAACAGACAGTGACATTAATTAAAAGCTGCTTAACGTCCATCAAGGTTAATTATACTTTGTGACAAATAGTAAGGGTATTTATGACGCGTATAGCAAAATGAAGAAAACTTATGTGCACAAATGTTCCATCTCTAATTGAATGATTAAATGTTTGACGACAGATATGCCAAATCATTTTTAAAGAGTACACTTATTAAATAAGAACTCTAATATTGCTCTACTCCACTTTTAAGATTTCTAGTTACCATATGCTTTCTGCCTACTATTGATATACAAGAATGGATTATTGTATTAAAAGAGATTTTTCGATGTCTCACTGTCTAATTTATATCATACATTTTGTTGTCATATCATAGTCATAGGTTCATGTGATCTTGTTTATTATTACTTTTTGTTTTACTTTTTTCTCATTTAATCATATGTTTTTTTCGGATCAAATTTCATTGAGAAAATCATAGCAGACAATCTGATTATATTTTTCCGTAGAGCAAAATATAGAATATGATAAATATGAACTAACGTGTATATACGTGACTAATAATTGTACTCTTTGTCTATAATTTATGAGTCGAATAGTAAAGACGAACGACAAGAAGAAAAATAATAACACACCAGGTGTCTACTTGTGTGTTAATTGATGATCTATATCAGAAAGGCCCCGTTATCTCAATGTACTTAGGCTGAAGGGTCACAAAAATAATAAAAATGAAAAAAAAAATTTCTTTTGCTCTTTAATTCAACGATAACGTCTGTACACAGAAGAATAAGCAGATATAAACTACTTGCGGAGAGAATACAAATCTTCTTCTAATATTTATTAGTTACATGGAATAAGGGAAGAGTTGAGTAACGTGAGTGACACAAAAACATCAAAAGGACATACGCGAATATATAACAACCACAACATGCAAACAAGAAGAGAAAAAAAAAAAAAAAAGAAGGAATGAATTTTCTTTTCCGAATGTAATAGTAATTATTACTGAGGGTGTGGATGAAAAAGACGATAGTAGAACTGATGATGACCTTGATTTTCTTCTTCGTCAATCCATATGTGTTTTAAGCGAAAGAAATGAAAGAAGATTTTTTTGAACGACGTAAAATATTAATAACGAGGATGATGCGATGACGAGTAAAAGAGGAAAAAAACAACAAACAACAAACAACAACAACAACAATTAACAAAACAGAACAGTTGAAAGCAGGACAGATTGTATTTTCAATTTTTTTCTCTCCGTTCTTTTGCTTTATCCCGAAAAAAAAAAAAAAGAAAAAAGTGCGAGAATGAGAAGAAAAAAACATAATAATCATTTGGTAGTGTGTGCGTTGTGCATGCAATAGGTATAATAGTTGATACAAACGTGCAAGAAGAACAATGCTCATATTTTTATTATTTAAGAAATAAAAGGAACGATGGAAAAAAAGGAAAAAAAGAAAGAAATGAGATTTTTTTGTTAGGTGCCACGACCACCACCACAGCAGCATCTCGTCAACACTGGACAACAATCAGCAAGAGAACTTTTTCTCATTTTTTGTGTTTCTTCTTCGTTATTGTGTATGTACATATATAAAGAAAAAATCTCGTATTCTTCTCCATCATCAGCATCTCAGCATCATCATCATCAAAAACAAAACAGACACACGTGTATGAATAAGTATACATAATAATTCGCGTTTGCAGATAGAGCAGTCTGCACAAGAAGGGAAAAAAAAGAGAAAGAAATTATTTTCTATTTGCGTTGTTGTTACGATTATTTTTTTTCAAAAAAAAAACGTTGCTTTGTAATAGCAGCAGTACTACTCATATTTCGACTGATATCATTTTTGGTAAATGAACTAAATCTTCTTTCGTTCGTTCGCTCAATTACGATTGATAAAGTTAATTTGGATAAACGGTCGGTTGTTAAGCCGAAACCGCAGTCTCAACAACAACAACAACAACAACCACCACGAAAACGTCCGAAAAGTGTCTTTAACCGATGTTGTGGTGCCGGTACATTAAGACGAAGCAGTACGAGCAGTATAAACAGCATCCAAATTACTCCAACAAAAAGAAGACATCACCATCACAATCATCCACAGAAACAGCGTATTCGCCGACTCAAAATAATGACGAATTGTGCGTCGTGTGTATCAAGACGTCGTAGCGATAATGCATGCGATCAAATTGATACTCAAATGACACCGACAACTGTTTCACCTCAAAATAATATCGTTCGACAAACGACGAATACCAATATTACCGTTGTTAATTGTAATCATACGTCATCTAATGTTATTAAATCATCTCAGGAACTAATTACCAAACAACCTTCAGTGACAACAGCTAATTCGACGAATGTATCTTCAAAAGGATCTATGAATTTTGTTACTAGAATTAGTAAAATTATTTTGAGAAAACGAACACCTAAAAACAATACCAATGGGTAAGTGAAAATTGAAAGTAAGCCAAAAACATAAAGTATGCAGAATGAGGGTAAGAAAAATAGACCATGAGCGAATTAACGAATGTATACGCGTCTAATAACGAGTCAATATTAATTTATTTTCTTATTTTAACATTCAACACATCTGACATCGAAATGTAGCGTAACGTAAATGAAGTGTTTACTTTTTTCAATGTCTCGAGAAGATCGAGTGTTTTTAAGTCAGAATGACTAGATGATTTCTATTCGCTTTGAGAATGAAAAGAAAGTACTTTTCGGATCTTTACAACAGAAGTCAATTTGAAAATGTAAGACTATAGAAAATGAAAAATAAATAAACATAAACATTTTTGTAGAAAGAGAGTAACATTTTCAACAATAGTTTTGATGTCCATGTTGTGGATATCTGTTTATACTTATGTCATATTGCTCAGTGGTTCAAACCGTATCTTTTCTAGTATGTCCTTATAATTCACAAAAAGTAGTGTAAATTGAGAATATAAATGTGTTCGTTACATTCTTAATGATGGAATTTTATTCGATATACTCTGAAGTTGTAGCCTAAAGTGAGAAGAAGAAGAAGATAGTCTTATTATTAAAGGTATATATGAATATTTTTTCGTATGATCATATGTAATAGACATAAATTTTCATTAAAACAACAACGGAGAACTTCATCAGTGAACTGATCTGCTCATATTATCTATCTGTATTTCGCTCAGAAGCTTTTATACAACTACTAAACACAGCCAAATCGAACGTAGCTTTTTTACCATAACGTGCCACGTAATAAAGCATCAATAACAGGAAAAAAGATTTTCCTGGTATGAAATGGGAAGGTTTTCAGAAGTAAAAATCTTCTATGACGAGTACCTCTTTAAACCTTTCCATGCTTAGATACACATTACTATATTTGGTAATGTTTCATGATGGTTAATAGTTTATTGACCTTTTCTTAATTATTTCACTCACTTCCGCTCACTCAGGTTACTTAATAATATGATCTTGAAAAAAGATCGTTTAGTGTTATGATGAGTTTCTTTTTTCGTCGATACTAGAATTCATCAGAATAGTACACAAGGCACTACATATATGTGCCCTTGAATTATTAGTGCTTTACGTTCAGTAATGTGTAGAGATACAAAGTGAATTAGTTATTTATATATTCTGTTGTCCAATGTCAAGTGAAATTTTTAATCATTACTACGCTCATATTCCATTTTTAATATAAGGCAAACAATATCTGGTTAAACGATGTAAAATTGTTTAGAACAAATAGAACAAAATTAAATAATCAGATCCTCCCAATCAAAAAGATTCTATCAATTACGAGAATATTTTCTGCATATACTAAAAATGAAATGTTTAGTAAATGTTATACATTATAAACAGACATTTTACAGTGTTTGGGAAATAAAAATAAAATGATAAAATTGTGTTTTTAAGGACACAATCATTTTTACCTTTGAGTACATTTATAAAATGTAAAGTATAGTTTTAAATCAATAATGGAAATTTTTTATAGTAATTTTTTTCTTTTTTGAAGACACATAACTGTAATTAAAGTATATTTCATTTAGTAGGATATTTTCATGACGTATAAGTCCAAAAACAATTTGAACTTAAATTTGTTCCTCTCGTACATAAGGCAGATTGGATTAACTCTATTGTAGAAAATCATGACTCAATACCCTATTTATTCACAGAAAACAAACACAATGTGTTAGAAGTGAGGAAGAAAAGACTCTTTTTCTTTTGTATACGCAAATATTTTCCATTGTTAATTACAGTTTTGATTTTATATGTTAAATATTCATCTATCTCTATAACACTAGAGAAGAAAATATTTCTAACTTAATCTAAAAAGTAGTGGGTAATTTTTACAGCATCAGATGACGAACATCGTATTACAGAAACTTCAATTTATTTTCACACGATATTATTCTTCTATTTTGACTTTGTCGCATTATTTACGCAGAATAATAAATATCATTGATAAAGAAAATAATTTTTTCTGTAAAGTAGCGACGAAATAAATGTCGCTAAGCGTTCTACGATAAATCGTAATGATAGCAGGAGTAGACATAAAAATGAAATAATAAGAAGTTGAAAAAAAAAAACGAATTGTAGATTATCTATCATTCAATGAGATACGTATCTCGAAATATAGAAGATGTACCTGAGTTTCATAGTATCCTAGATTGAAAATCATTAGCTTAAAGAAATCTATCAAAATATTATTATAAATTTATTCTACCATTCTTAATTTATTTACTTGAAGCTTTTTTTTTTCGCAGAACTAAGTACATCAAGCTATTAAGAAATTTTAGAGATAAAACGGTTTTCAGTCGTTCGATTTATTTTTTTTTCTCTACTTCAAGTCGACAAATAATTTTTTCACATGATAACTGCTAATAACTTTTTGTCTGTTGATTCTATATGTGTCTACACATGTGTCAACATTCTTCTGACATTCTTCTATATATAACTAAAAGTTTTAAACCGAATATCATTCTTTCATACTGACGTGTAGAGACATAATAAACTATAGTTGTTCTAGAATTTTTTTTAATATCATAGTACACTTACGATAACGAATAATAACAATAGACGATATTTATGTAGAATTTTAATGATTATTATTACGTAGTTATAATTTTTTTCCTGTGAAATATCTGATTATATCATGAATAAATGTTTTTATCAGAGTCGATGAACGATTTTCTTTATAGTGTTTCCGTCAGATTTTATCAATAAATTATTTGATACAACGGTCAAGAAAAGTATTAAATAAAAAATAATTTCGTTTTCTCCTTTATTAATTGAACACGCTAATAACAATAGAAAATACATTTTTTATTAATATTTTTTTCTCTTTTGTCTTCACGAATAACATAATACATTTTTAGTAGTTTCCTCTAATTTGTCACAAATTTTTTCACTGACTAATGGATATTTTTTAAACAGATAACGGTCACTTCTCTTTGACCACATGCAATCCTCGATATGCTTTGTAAAATCATTTCATGTTTACTCTACATCAATAAATCGTAATAAGAAAAAAAAAAAAGAACAATTGAATTTTCTTTTCCTCAATTAAGACAAAAAAAAAAAAAAAAACCGAATAAAACCTCAAAAACAATACTTAATTTATACGACGAATTTCCGGAGAGAAAGCATGCCAGATTCTTGCAACGCATAGAATAAATATTTAATATATTTATGAACCAAAGTTCTAAATAAATGTTCGTTTCAGATTGTAGTTGAACGATGGAATAGAAATAAAAAAAACCTAGAAAGATCAAAATAACTTCATTTGGAACCGACTGTTTACGTGTATATTTTAGAATTAAACCCAAAACTTCGTATTATAAGCTTCGTAGGAATGATCAGAATATAACTGAACCTTTAGCGGATATGAAAGACTGAAACGAATTCACGTCTGCATATGATATTCTTAACTCATACTACTGGAAATACAAAGGCTAGGCGAAGAGTTTCTAAAACATTTTAGTGGGGTTAAGCGCTAAACCTTTTCATCTCGAACGTTCGAAATATCATATATGTACTTGAGGGTTGGACTCCCACATTTAAATTATTATTTACACTTAATGAATTGTGTGCCCAGCGGCAATTGTCAATGTGGACGATATGAGATCCTAAAATATTACCATTTGCACTGTCCTCTTTATAAATTGAATAAGAAAACATTATTTTCTAAATTAAGTTTTATGGAGCAAAAATGACACTTGACATGTTTCTGTCAGTAAATGCTATAGATTTTTCCTTAATCGACAGGCAACAAATATGTAATTGTGTTGCAGAATACATTAACGAAACTAAATGCTTTGATCAGATCAAATAGTTCCAAAGTTAGTTTAGTAATCGCCTCTCCAAATGATTTCTAACAGCAACCAAATGGAAACCATCCTTTATGTTAAATAGACTCATAACTGTCTTTACCATGGATTCTGTTATTATTATTATTATTATTATTATTATTAATCTTCTTTTTCCGTTGCACTTTCCCTTCCTTCCATTCTTTTTCTTTTTACGCTAATGCTTAAAATGGATTTCATACTCGCTGATATTAATGCTCTTTTTCTTCTTTATTATAAATAAAGTTTATGTTAACTTCATTTGCATCGTTTCTAAGAATTGTGAACATTAGTGTGAGTGGATAGTATCTGTTAAAAGTTATAAAATAGCCTGTTAATAATTTTGTGATTTTTAAGAAATGGTGCGTTCTGAATGAAATTAACTATTTCAAAAGTTTCTACAGACGTAAACACACTCGTGAAACCGGATGAGAAGATTTTATTTGATGTCTGAATAACGTTTATTTATAATTTTTAGTTAAGGTCTGAAAATAATTCGTTGTAAATGTAAAAAGATCTCATTTGCGTGATTTATAATACATTGATGATGAAAGATTTCTTGAAGATTTCAAAATTTAAAAGGAATCAAATGGCAACTCATATTTTTTCATTGCCATACATTATCTGATTCATATGATGTTACATTCGTCTTTGGTAGTTTAATCATAAAAAAACCCATAGAAGAACCTCGTCTGTATCTGAAAATTAATGTCCTATTAAAGAAACCATATCTGTTGATTCTGGTACTAGTTCACCTGCTGGAAATAACATTAAAGAATTAGTTTATCTGAACGCAACAGCTGGTGTATATTGTCTTCATTCATATCGACTATATTTTTATCTTGGTAACCTATATGTTCATCTCATCATTCTATGAGAAAAATTATATTTTGTTGCTATTTTTGTGAATTCACATATCAATTTAGATAATAATTTAATGAGTTTAGTCGTTCGTCCTTTTCCACTAACAAAATATAAGAGAGAGGAAGAAAAATTGAAAAATCCATTACAATGATTACACTCGACAATGTTTTTTGTCTTTTCTCCTCATCCCTTTATCCATATATTATTTTCATTATTTCCGTTAATCACTACCACCACCAATTACTTGTATACACAAAGCAGCAACAACAACAACATCATCATCATCAACTGTATAGAAGAATTTTGCTTTATTCTCTCTTTTAGAATATATTTCCGGGTTATCATCAGCAGCAGTTGTGTATTTTGTTGTATGAATAGAACTAATAATAATAATATACACGTAACACAAGGTCTTCTCTGTTCTTCGTTCGCTCTTTTTTTCTTCTAGACTTCGTATTTTCTTTCGCATATGTATATACCACTCTGTCTGTGTTTCGCAGCGTGCGTGTTTGTGCGCTCTATTCTTTCTCACAATTTTCTGAGTGGAAAACATATGAATGGATTAGATAAACTTCGTTTTTTTCTTCTGTCCTCTTCTCTTTTTAATCAATGTTCCTTTTTGTGTGTTCGTGTGCAACAGAAAAACTAGTAACAGCAGTCATTCTCGATTAGTAAATAATATTTATTGAATACTTTGCGGAACGAAAACAAAGAAGTATGTATGCAGGAAAATTACGGTATTTTCAATAGTACAAGACCTCCGGATTTTCTTCAACGAAAACGAGATTCAACAACTTTAACAATTTACTTTAATGGAGATGATAAATTGTTGAATAAACATCAAACATATCGTCATCCAGTACCATCAATAATTACAGTTATTGCGTCAGCATTGAATTCAACCACAAATATACCAACATCCCCACTCGCCCCCGCTCAATCTCCATCAAGATCTTCGTTATCACAAACCAATTCCAGTACCAAACAACGTCCCAAAAGTTTCTTTCAACGTTTTAATGGTGTTGAATCTACAAATAATGAATCGCTTATACGTACCACACGCTATCGTACACCACCCGTAGAATCAGCCGATTTTACTCTTCCATCGGCTATTACGTTTAATAACGATGATGTCTTTGGTTTGTCACCATCGGCTGGAGATGAACCAAAACTTCGTCGACGTTTTACATTTCGGCGAAGTTTACGACAAAAACCAGGCACCCCCTCAAGCAAAGAGCAAGAGCAAGGAAAACTAAGATCATCATTTACGAAAGCAGCACTTGTCAGGTATCGAAGTTTCGCCAGAATTCTTCTTTCTTATTAATAACTTTGCATCATTTATTTGATATAGAACAAAAAATAGGTTTGCTCCTTTCATCTTGTTTAGTGTTTCATTTTTATGTCAGTGATGCGAAATTTTAAATTTATTCGTAACATAATGGCGAATAGTACGTCTATATTTAGACTTTAACGACAGACAGCATAGAATTTGATGAATGGATGAGAACTGATCTCATGAGAATGTCAGATAAAATTACTTTTTTATTTTCAAAAAGTTGGTACTATCTATTATGCGTATAAATTAAAGTAAACTAAAATTGTTAAATGTAGATTAGTAGTATGTAAGACACCTTCGCTAATTTTGCTTTCATATAGTCAATACTAGTTCGAATACGAAAAGTTTAAAAGCATGTTTATATAAAAATGGTTATTCTATGTTCATCATTGAGCAAGTTAACATTAATTACATAATGAATGTTGACATGCATGTATTTTTGTACTTAAAAAATATAATTCTCTTTATCATGTTCTATATAGAGATTGATAAAGTTGTTAACGACATATTTTATCGATCATTAATCTAATTCTCTTCTACAATATGGATGACGCTCTACTATTACTCGTTAATAGTAATGGGCAATGTAATATGTTACTGTTATTCAGTAAAGTAACGCAATGATTGTGCTACAGTGCTATTTCTATTCTTTATGCGTCACTACCGATGTTAATCGTGGTCGCAGGCAGCCAATTATTTCTGTTGATTGGTGATTTATATTTTTCTATCCATTATTTCTTTCTAAACATAAAATATTTCTATTCTGACTGGCTTATAATGGTTGCACCAGATGCTGTTGATTTATTTCAGTTCAAATTTCATTATACACTGTTGAGTTTATCCATGCAGAAAATACATGCACACACTGTTCTTTTATGATAATAATCAAAAAAAGAAAGAAATGTGTATTATTTTTACTGTAGAGGTGGAAATAATAATCAAAATATCGTTATTATTACCATTATTATTATTAGAATAGCAGAAAATGCAATATATGTGTATGACGAGGAAACAATAGAAATGTTGTTTTCTACATTCATTGGATTTCCTTAAAGAGTTTAATCAACTTTTTTTTTATTTTCTAAAGAAATGCAATACAAAACCTGTAGACAATTAGATCTAATCAAATTGAAGGGAGACATTTTTTTATTTTTAGCAAAAAAATTTTACTGAGTGATAGAGTACTTATAAGCATTTACATGAGATCTATTTTATGTTGTTTTTTTTTATATACAGTTTCTTATCGTACTCGTTGAAAGGTGATTCTGATTTATTCAATTGATTAATATATTAATAGAAATTTTTTAATTATCGGTTAGCATTTTCGATTAGGATTTTAGAGGGCTAAGGATGACGGTGAAATTATTCCATACAGTAAAATTCTTACATTTTATAACATAAGAAATTTTGATGAAATTGAAAATGGAACAAAAGGTTTCTATGCATCTTCTATATTCTTAACAGAGAAATCAATTCTGTTCTTGTATGTCGTTAATTACAGATCCGACAAAATGTGAAAAATATTTATTTCATTCAAATTTACTTTGTTATTCAAATAAGATTTGTGCCGATGTAACGTAGTTTCATTAGTCGATCTTTCTTTTCATGAATCAAAAGACGCTATTCACATACAGAAAACGCTATGGTAAAAACCGGAAAAGTAGATATATTTGTTAACAATGCTTCATTACAATTTTCATGCACAGAGATGAGATAGAGTATGGATTGTAAGATGAATGTCAACTTCATTCAAACAATATAGACAGATTTTTCAACGCGAAACAGTTACAAGCGTAGAAGTTTCCAGCGGAAAACGACAGACTGTTCAACTCTGACTAACGATGCGCGCTAAAGTGATAAAATAAAAACCAATTGTCTCAACTTGTCTTATACACTGATACTTTCGTCTAACCTTGAGTCCCTTCTCAGAAACCATCATGATGATACCATTTTATTGTGACATGCATTTATGTGATCAATAATTGATGTTTGTAAATTGTTTCGATAACGAATAATGATGAATTATTCTCGGAAAGAGACACTTATTATTGATATATGAGAATAGATAAATTATGATAGCTTTCCTGATGTGCGCTGCGAATTGTATTTCTTTAAACAATCCATGAGACAGCTGCGCTGTATCTATAAAGAGTATGCCATCAGAAAATGATAGTTTTATACGTAACAGATTTTGCACCATACGAACTCTTCAATAAAAAGTCAGATTTAGAACGTGACATTTTACTCAGCGTGATTTTAAATAAAGTATCAATTACATATACTAGAAAAATGTATTCTTCTGTCGTAAGATCATTATAAAATTATTCCGACAAAAATGACTTTTACTCTCCCAGCAAAATTATCGGATTTTGCGCTACTTTCAATACGAATTGATCATCACCGCGATGAATTTTACAACATGTTCTTCCTGTTTTTGACAAATCGCTTAAGATTATTATTATACAGTGGGACATGACCTATATTCTCTACAACTTTGAAGAATGTACCATGTAAGGTTCACGAGATATTGAACTTTTAAAAATGAACTATGTTTGAGTTTTATCTCAGTATTTTTGATAAAAGCAACATCCTATAGGTTCTTTTGCGTTTTCAGTTTGATTATGATTATAAAAAACTGTTTTTCCAGATGTTTATAAGGTAGCTGAGTCCGCCGTTACTATGGTGCCATCATCATTAGTAGCTAACCGGCCAATGCTCTTTTTTCTCAAGTAACAGTTTTGTACGGTGGTCATGCGAAGTGAAAAAGCTCAATATCTCGTAAACCTTACATGATACATTCTTCAAAGTTGTAGAGAATATAGGTCATGTCCCACTCTATAATAATAATCTTAAACGATTTGTCGAAAACAGGGAGAACATGTTGTAAAATTCATCGCGGTGATGATCAATTCGTATTGAAAGTAGCGCCAAATCCGATAATTTTGCTGGGAGAGTAAAAGTCATTTTTCTGGGTTCTGCATCAGCTATGAAGTCAAAAAAAACAGTTTCTAACGTAATTTGATGTGCTCTATAAAACTAGATCGGTCTTGAATGAAGCGGAGAAAGTTGCTGTATTGATGGGGCATTTCAGATGAATTTGCCCATATTCCCACTTCGCTTTCATAAGAAAAAGCGTTTCACTTATAGTTTCTAAGATATTTGATATCAAAGTCTCATGACACTTTGAGCAAAAAGTCAATTTACGCTAAAACAAAAGTCCCATAGGTAACTAATATTCTGTGCTGTAGACATAAATCTTACAAATCAAATCATAATTGATAATATTTCTAATCTTCAACTAGCAGATTGCCCTGTGGGGAAATAACTATAGTCAATTGAAGAACAGAAGAGGCAGTGATAATCTTGCTCGGAAATTTTGAACAAGTTTCAGAACGTATTTATGGTTGACACCCTTTTACCTTCAATTGATATAAATTCTAACACAAAAATCTCTTAAATCTGCTATACTGTTATCGAATACAAAGGATTTTGTGCATTTTTTCGGTTTTTGGAGCTACATATTTATTCGATAAAAGTTTTGGATTTAAAAAAATAGAAAATTATATTTTATTAAGGATGTAGTAGTACACGACAATGGGTGACATCTGTTCAAGTATTTTTAAATGTTTAAGTTCACGACTTCCACCCAATGCATTTGAGGATCAGTATTTTTCAACTCCGAGTACATTGCCAGAGTTGTCTTAGCGACTTATAGTCAGTCGCTGCAAATCGCTTTAGCAACTGACCCAAGCGCGTCAGTCACCTTTCGGAGTGACAGCGACTGAGCAAATTCCTCATTCAGAAACGCGACTGCTACTTATCTGTTGAGACGAGAAAAATCTTCAAAATATTAAGAAAAACCTACTTTTCGTGCGAGAAGTTGGCTCAGGTTCCAGAATAATAAGTGTCATCATTTAAATTTTAAATTTCATTGTTTTGACAATAAGTTACATGGCTAGTAGCTCGACTTATGCACTTATGAACCTCGTTAACCACAGATCCTTTCCCCAATTAGAGCATTTTCGCATCTCAGGCTTGCAAACAATATCATATACAGCGCGCTCGAGAATTGGAGTAAAATTATGAATTTTATATTTTTTCCAGCTTTCTGACATGAAAAAATGTCTGGTACACATTTAGTTCAAAAGGTGATCGGTAGGTGTACTAGACACTTTTTCAACGACTGACAGATCCTTGACTACTTCATGGAGTCCAACGCTTTTTTGACTAGCATTATATATCGGGAAAACGTCTGACTAACAGTACCTAAGACGACTGTCACGATTTACAGTGTATAGTGACGCTTACTGTGAGGAATGACAAAGTTCAGTTGCACGAAAAAGTGTAATCAATCTCAAATGTGCGGGACTCAAATTTATTGAATAGAAAGCTCGGATATGGTCAGAAAATATGAAAAGTCTTATTTAAAATAGTGAGACTTCTTAGACAAACACAAGAAACGGATAATGACGCTATTGAAACGTTAAATAGTGACATACGGTAGCGCCCTCAGAGACTATTCTCATCAAGGACGGATTGTCAAAAAAATTTGATAACTTGAAACCGGTTATTTCATTATTTCGGCTTATAATTAAAACTTTCATTCAATGGAGTTGAGTCCTAGACATTAAAAAAGAGGTGACGCTTATTTTCTTGGACTATGAAAGTCGTCCATTCAGTTTGCTAAGTGCAGACTGGAATTAAACTAAATTTAGAAGGTCGTTCGAATATAGCTTTATGTTATGGAGTAGCATTAGTTAACATTTTTTTATGTATTCCATAGAATTACCATTGGTACGTGAATTCTGCCTCTGTCTTACTTTTCTGAATGGCTTTCAGAATAGAACAACAACATAAGTGGAAGAAACACTATTCTAACTACTTTTAATTAATAGTAATATTAAAATCGAATTACGATTGCTTTATTCAAAATGCTTCCATTGGATGTTCATATTATATCGAGTATGATATAAACAGAAATTTAAAAAAGTTGAAAAAGCATAAAAGATTCCCGAAACTAACTACCTAATATCTCCGAAAGGAAACAACAGTTAAGACTAAAATTAAAGAATTATGTTGAATTCGAGTACATCTAAATACTAACGAACTTTCTTCAAAATCTAAGACAATCCTACATTTTTTCTGCACTACATTTTTGGAGTTGAAAAGTGGCGCTATAATATCTTAACAAATAGCACAATAGCTACTAAGGTAGCTTAGCCTGAAGTAGCCGACATAATGACTATGCAAGTTGTTTATTACTTGTCTGAGGCAAAATTAATCAAAAACAACGAAAGTTTAGTCAGCGTTAGTGATGATGGTTCTAGAAAAAAAAATTCTAACGGATGTCGACATCTTCCGATATGTGACAAATATACTCAAAAGTAACAGGTGTAAACAAGAGATTCCTATATAACTCAGTCTTTTCCTTTACTAACAATCATCGTTGCAGGAGAATGTGTTTTGCTTTTAGAGAAATATTTTGTTTTACTAATAAAGGAGAAGCGAAAGATATGGACAGAACGAACGGTAAAGGAATTTGGTACACCACTCTTTTTTTTGAAAAACTAATAGATTCTCTCAATGATCTGAGAAAACTAGGTGCACATTAAGAGAAAAAAGTTTATGTATACGTATCGCATGTCAAGCGTGGCCAGTAGTACACATTACATCATCTACTCTTGAGTTGAATTTTTTAAAAGAAAAGAGAACGAAAGGTAATCATAAAAGCGCCATGTAACATTCTTAGAATAATTTCTCATGTGTAAACAATGCCTGACGTCTAGTTAAGTGTGTAGATTGTGTAATTTATTTTTTAAGATAAAACGTCTAATGTTAATCTTTTCTTTTCTTGCCGCTGTTTTAGTTTCGACGTTGATGGTTCACGAAATGGTTCTGGTTCACGTGGCAGCACATCTGCCGCTCAAGGAGGAGGTGGAAAAAGTGGAACGGGTCAAGTTAGTGGATCTGGTACAATGCATCGACGTGAATCGTTTTTATATAAATGTGATAGTGATAATGATTTATCGCCAAAAGGAATATCAAGAAATCCATCTATTGGAAGTGAACTGTAAGTAATAATGTTTTTTTTCTGTTGTGATCTGCTTGATATTACTCGGTACCATGTCTTTATAAGATGTTCACATTAGAAGAATTTAAGATAATTTTTAAACTGAAACTATTAATTTATAAAGTAAACAATTTGAAAAAATGTTAGATATGTTGTGAGTAAGGTGAATTCTTTACTCATGTTGATTTGAAGAGAATTTAATTAATTTTTTCGCAAGAAACTTTTTTGAAGATTTTAGGATGTTATTTCTTGAATTCCTCTATGACTGACTGTTTTTGATGATAAACAAGTTATTCAACTACAGATTGTCTCTAGTAGAATAAAGTTAAGCCCAGTGTTTTCATCTCTTTATATATAATCATTTTGTCTGTAATAGTTCGACTCTCAGTAGTTTGGAGACTTACAGACTAAACATTGTCGATAAAAGATGTTTACTCTTTCTTAGAAACTAGAGAAGATTTACAAGTATTATTGGACAATGATCATAGGGTTAAAGTCTTAGAGTGACTCATTTACAGCTAATTTATCAAGTTTTGTATTTGTCTTGTTGATTTTTTTTTTGTCACCACAGGATATTTTTTGTTTCGTATATATTTCAGCTTTAACCATTATGCACACTTTACACCATTATTTATACCACGAGTACTAGGCAAATTTAATCATGTGTATAGAGAACAACAGGTGATGATGAGTGAATGAAAATAAGAACAAAAAAGAGTGTAAAAATACGTCGCTTTTTCCATTGTAATACGTCTCGTCTCGTTCACGTAAGATGTATAGATGATTCGTTCCCTTTGAAGTTTTCGAAGGACTTTTTCTCTTCTTATGAAGTTTTGGAAGTGAGTAACTTTTTCAGCAATGAGAAAATTCCCTACCTACTCTCCCTAATCGAATTCTGTGATTCTCTTAGACAACTACTTTTTCTTTCTTAATATTCAAGTTTGAGATTTCCTAATTTAGTTTATGAGGTTTCAAGGCGATAAACAGGATTGTCAACTCTTCCGATTTTTGACTTTTTTTTTCTTGTGAATAACAACATTCATCTCGAAATCTTGTGAAACTCGCTTATATTTGGAGAGAGTGATAAAATAAAGAATATAGTTGAAATAGAATAGGGAAATCTAACGTTACATTGATCCGACTAAAAAATAATTCTTCGGACTGTAAGAAAGTCGAGTTGGCAATCCTGGCGATAAGAGAAAGTTTCAATGAAAAAATACTGTACAATAAACAACAAAGGTTAGTAAGTTGATTTTAATAGGGTAGTGTGGACGTGAAACTAAATGAGATCAATTATAATAAAAAAATTATTTTTTTAGAAATGAAATATATTTAAGCTACGCATTTATATTTTCTTTCTCAAAGATAGATAGAAATAAGCTTAAAAAGTGTTTACAGAATCAACCTATTTTCAAACTACTATGATAGTCTAGATTAATACACAGTTTTTCTTTCAGTCTCAATCTCACAAATCAAAGTGTTCATAAGCTTCAACTGGCTTGTGTAAAAGTTTAGATTATTCTCGAAACTGAAGACCGATATTCTGAATACTTTTCTTTGAAATCGAAAATTTTATTTTTCAAGTTTAAATGTTCAATTTTTCTGGAAAATAAGCGTTTTGATAAAACCAAGATTACTTCTTAGTCTTTTATATTAGTTGTAGTTTGAATTGGATCGAGTACTGCTGATAAGTCGAATAACGACGCTTGTTCCGATGTGTACTCACTCTCACAGAATTGTATATTTTTCTCGTTCAATCACTTATGTTAGACACTCTGCACACTTAACTTCATATAGTTTATACAACAATTTAGTAAATTTATACACTTGTGAATTTTATTTTTCGATAAATACGACTTGTTACTATTGTATTTGGGTGTATGGTTTAAAGTTAAAGTATCTCGTCATATTTATCGGTTGCCAAAGAGAAATAAGTATATTTCCGATTGTGATTTGATATCAGAAGCTTTCATCTGTGTTTTCGCGTTCAGTTTTAGTAAACTGGGTAATAGATCAAGTGATGTGTGTTGTCTGTCACCGAACTTTTTGTAAATTGAGTTATGATATATATTTTTAAGCTGAGTAGAATAAAAGTATATCATTCTACTAAACTTTAATATATAATGATATAAATTATAAGACAAAGTACATCCAGAAGACAAGAAGTTCTACTTTATTTTCGATCGTATTTGTACCGGTGATTGTTTTATACTGAAAAATTTTGAAGCCTTGCTATTTTGAAGTATTTCATTTGCAAATTAAAGAAAATTATTTTGTATATCATCATATTGATGTATACGTTCTTCAGATATAAACAAATCTATTTGTTGTTGTTTTTTGTCGCTATATGATAGCATACAACTAGCTAGAATTAGACAAAAATGTTACAATATTAATTACTTATTGTAACATCATATTTATATAGTAAAATGAGCTACGATCTGTAGGAATTGAAAAAGAATAAATAAACAATTGGTTTAACATGTAATTCGTTTCAATGTGCAAGTAAAAACTATTAAGAACATTTGATATATTAGCAAATATATGTTCTGAAAAGTGAAGACGATTTGTATATTTGAATTATATTTAATGTTCAATATTTTTTACTAGAAATTATTTTATTATCTTGTTTCTAATTTGTATCGTGTAAACATTGTTGAAAATCTATAAAAAAAATTTTATAGACAATAATTTTGATGCAAAATGATGATCAAAGAAAAGAAAATTTTATGTCATATATATATAAAAAATATCAAGAGTTTTAATTAATTTTACGTGTGAATCAATACAAATGAATAAGACAGGCGATTAACTCTTTGGTTACAGAGTCCTTGTATATACGTTTTGACTTTTTGCTTCAGATTAAGGCTGTTATGACTCCGTCACTCTTGGTCAGGCTATGAAAATGCTCTCATTTTCTCTCATGTTGTCAATATCACAACGTTATCGTGTAACACCATGATGTATGTGTACGCTGTGTCGAGTTATAAAAAGAATCAAATTTTTTTTGTGAAAACTCGTAACTAATGGATTAATGAACTTTCTAATGTTAATTATATTCTTTCAATTATACAACTAGCATTTTATGATAGAAGTTTAGAGAATTTATATGGACACTAAATTTCCGAATATCATAATTTCTGTGAAAATCGAGTTTTCTTACTTTAATATTCAAACTGATTGGAAAGATAAAAACGTTTATCAAAACAAAATGCTTTAAACCAAATTAGAGTTTTTCCGAAGAAAATTTTAGAATTTGTTTAAAGATACTTTTAATCAAAAAATGATCAAATTTTTTGTCAAGTAAAAACAGTCTGTTGTTTATTGAAAAAAGCTTAATAAGACGAACATAAAGATTAATTGAACTAGAAAGGGACATAATTTAGGCTTAATTATTGAAAACAATCTCATTTTCAACGCTAAACTCATAGATACTTCAAAAGATTAATTAAAAATTTCGTTTGAGACAAAAATGCAACCTCTCTCAGTTTTTTATTTCTTAATATTTTTAAAGCTATTAAATCACTGAAGAGTCTTATTGTTCGTGAAACCTGTTCGATTATTTTTATTCAATTTATTATGAGAATGTGTGATTGACGTTTGATATTTTCTTCTTTTTTTTTGTTTTGAAAACGATATAATTAATGAATTCGTTGTACAAATCAATGTCTGACATTTAATTCCTTTCCAAATTTTTTTTTTGTTTACTTCTTTTCTTGCTCAGACATATATTTTGTTATTTGATCGTACTTAGACAAGATCCCTAATCTAAATTCTCTCATATTTTTGTTTTTGTCAAGTTTATATCAAACTAAACTTGTATTTGTCTAGTTTTTTTTTTTTTTTTGGTTCATTAATTTATTTTTTTTTTTCTTATTATCATCCATTATTTCCTGTCAATGTGCAAGAAAAAAGGAAAGTATTAAAAAATGTTTTTTTATTATTCTATTCCGGTTTTTTTTATTCTTTTAAATTATCATTCTATTTGATGTATGAGTGTCCATACAATCTTTTGCTCCATTTTGGCTTGATTATCATTTAACTGGTTAATTGTTAAACCGAGAAATATTCTATTTTGAACACAATAATGTATCGTGGTGGTGAACGTTTACGTAGTTTTACTGATGTATCCGACAATATTTCTCACATGGATATACATAATATTAGTTATGAACCATTACTCTGTTATTCATCGAGTATAAAAGAAAAATCTCGAAGTTCCTTATCAAATATACTTGTACCAATACCATCAAAAGAACTAAATTTATCAACAAAATTTAAATATTCATGGATTAAAAGGTAAAATTTAAATTAAACGAAAAATCTTTTTTTATCAAAAATATCGTTTCGTAGATTGATCAAAAAAATGTTCAACATCCAATAAGCATTGATAGTTTTCTAAGAACTTCTATATCTATTTGATGTACTTGAGTTCTCGAGTGTTAAGAAAGAATATTAATGTATTTTCTTACGGATACATCATAATAGTATTTTGAAGAGAAAAGTGCGAAAAAAATTATTTCCGGAACGCAATTATATACTGAAAAACAAAATATTAGCGTGCAATAGAGAACAAGAATGTTCTATTATATTATTCTTTATTGAGACGTTAATATTCAAGTTTAAATATGAAATGAATATATTTAATTGTCTCTGAATATAGAGTCTGATATTAACTCGTTTGTGTTCAAAGGTTTTTCTGAGAGTTGAATAATTTTTATTATGGATCCGATCAAGTATCTCTAAGGAGGGAAGGAGAAAAATGTTTAATTATCTCAATTGGGATGTGCTTTTTTGTAAAATAAACATAGACTACTTTTGTTCTCAATGTTTTAGTTGCAACCAAAATTGTTTCCTATCTTAGCATAAAAGGTTACAAAAAGAAAAGTGACTCTATTAATTTACACAACATTTAACGCTTATAATTCATTCATATAGGCTACCCTTGAGTATCTATAAATCTCCAAAGAAATGATCGTCGAAAAGATTATTGGGCATAAACGG